CGCAGCGCTTGGCGAAGCTCAGCGCCGAGTGACTCCCTCCCAAGCCTGGCGCCACCAAAGACGGTGTCCTGGTCAAAGAATTATTCATAGTTAAGCTCTTAGGTGACTTTTCTTATTCTTGTGTATTAAAAATGCCCTGGCCAATCTCAGGTAGACTTCTTGAATTTAAAGAAAACAGGGAATGCAGGAGTGGTGTGGAGTTGTCACTGAGATCGAGTGCGAGTTGGGAAAGACTCTCGTGGGAGCCCCACGCCAAGCGGTGCCTGGACCGGGTGGCAATGACCACAAGACTTCTCCCCTCCTGATCCACTGGCAGCATCTTTGGGATTATTTGGAAAATAACACACAGAAAAGGCTGGCCGGGAGGGAGTCGTGAAAGTGGAAGTGAGCACAAAGGAAAGTCCCCAGCCGGGACTGCAGAGGCCGTCAACCGCCACGCGGGCCCCAGGGCTCACCAAATGCTCCACCAGAAGGAGGAAAGGAGACCTGGTGATTCCGAATCTCAAGCAAAATGGGACGAGGGAAGCTGTCTTCTACAGGTTGCTCCCTCCCCAGGCCTCCGGAACCCGGGGCTCCACCACAGGGACTCCACGGGTTGGTGAGAGGCTGCTGCAAGATTGAATTATTGAGTTTCCCCAAACCGAATTACAAAGTCCAAATAGAACTTTAAAGCTTGCTGAGAGCAGACAAAAACAAAACCAAAATTTCATTTGGGAGCAGTGACCACGGAGAAAGAAAGAGTGTAATTCCAAAATGACTCCCAAGCCCTCAGAAATCTGATGGGGAGTGAGAGTCTCTATTTCCCTGAGCAGACTGGTTCGGGTGCCAAGTGGACTTGTAGTTTCAGAGCTCCACGACTGACCCAGGCAGCACAAGCCACCCTTACACTGTACTGAGCCCTGCGAGTGTGCTGCGGAAGCCCTGCGCATTCGCACTTGTTGTTTGAGCCCACCCTTGGCTATGAACTGCCTGCGGAGCTCGCTGTTTTGGAGCAGGATTCTGCTACAGGAGGAATCCGGCCGGACACAAAGGAGCCTGAAGCAAGTTAATGAAACCCAAGCATGAGCGGGGCATGGTGGTGCAGGCCTTTAATCCCAGTACTTGGGAGGCAGGGGCGAGCAGATCTCTGTGAGTTGGAGACCAGCCTGGTCTACAGAGAGAGTTCCAGGACAGCCAGAGCTACATAGTGAGACCCTGTCTCAAGAAATAAAAAGAGACCCACACGTTTGCTTATGTGTACTGAGCACCAAGGGTATCAGGTTGCTCCAACTCCCCAGCCTCCCCTGCTACCGACACCCCGGCCTGCCCCCAACATACACATATATACCACCACCACTAGTTAGTTTCCTTAGTGCTAGGCTCTTCAAAGCCGATCTCCCAGACAAAACACTGGGGGAGTTAGTTCCTACTTTTGTGAGCAGCAGGAGCTATTTGTAGTAATAGAAAAGAATTAATTTGTCCTTCCTTCCTTCCTTCCTTCCTTCCTTCCTTCTTTCCTCCCTCCCTCTAGTTTTATGCTCTTGGATTCTGGATTTTGCAAACCACAGCACAAGATTGGATTCTCAGTCCAGCCCCCTTCTCTCCCCGTGCCTTCTAATAGGAACTGACCAGCTGCTTGGAGGCTAAGCTGGTGTGGAACAGGGGCCTTCCCTTTCCTCATTCTCATCAAACACTGCTCTCCCCAGCCCACATGCCATCACTATTACTTTTCTTAGGGTTAAGAGGATGACTTCTGCTTTGGGGGACCCCTCCTGGTTGGGGGTCTCCACTTAAGAAGATGCCTAAGGTCAAGCAAGTACTCGGGTCCCTCATACTTTGGGAAGTGGGGTGAGGCTGGTTGACGGAGGAGGGAGAGATGTGGTACCAGGGTTTTTATGAGGAGGCTGCGCTTATAAATCCCATAGGGTTGCCACACAAGTACAGGACTTTGTGAGTGTGACTTTGGAGTGCTCCTGAGCACATGGGGAGGCTTAGAAAAGGCATTCACTCGGGACCTTACTTTAGAGATGATCCCAAAGCTGCACACTGCTGAGCCTGCTAGACCGCCTACCTCCGCCCTTGTTAGGTCCCCCACAGAAAGGGTTCTGACTACCTGACCCTGGAGGTGTCCTCCACCATCCTTCCTGTTCTCGCTTTGAAACACCCCCTTATGAAACCTGCCCTGACAGCCAACACCATCTCCTCCTTTGATTCATGGAGCCAGAGAGGCCATCCTTGGGAACACCACGGAAGCCTCCCTTCTGAAGAACAGGCCAGCCAGCTTTGACAGTGGTAGTACACGCCTTTAATCTCAGCACACAGGAGGCAGAGGCAGAGTCAGAAGGATCTCTGTGAGTTCGAGGCCAGCCTGGTCTACAGAGTAAGTCCCAGGACAGCCAGGACTACACAGAGAGACTTTGTCTCAACAACAACAACAACAACAACAACCCCCCTCAAAAACCGGAAAAGAGCAGGATAGTGCTAGAGAAAGGAAGGCTTGGAAAGCAATGTCCTCAGAAGTTAGTTCATAGCTTCAGCTCTAAGGAGGTAGGCATGGCTGGAACCTGGGGAAAGGTGGTCCCACTTGAAAATAACATTTACCTACCAAGCAAACTTCCACACTGTTCCCCGCCAACCTGAGAAAGAGGGTCTTCTATAGTGCCCCTTCTTCAGAGCTCCAAGGTTACAGGGTAGAGAACTACTTTATTGGCAAGAAAGCATTTCCCTGGAGAACTTAATTTCTGTCCAGTTGGGGGGGGGGCATTTAAAAGCAGATTATTTCTCTCCTGTCCACGAGGTGCTACAGTCCCTATACATTCCCCGAGACTTTCTCTTTTTATTTACTTATTTTTATTTATTTATTTTTATATTGTGTGTACACGTGTACTGTCTGTGGACAACGCACATGCCTGGGAACCAGAAGCCAGAAGAGGATGTCAGATCCCCCAGAACTGGAATTACATGTGGTTGAGAGCTGCCATGTGGGTGCTAGGAATTGAAACCAGTCCTCTGGAAGAGCAGCCAGTGCTCTTAACCACTGAGTCACCTCTCCAGACCCAGACTCTATTTTATAAGGCCTGCATCTGCCCACAACCACCCAATGCCTTCATCTACTCCTCCAGTCTGTCTTCTTTCTCTACACCCTAACATTGCTACCTTTCCCCCTAAGTCCTGTGTGTGTGTGTGTGTGTGTGTGTGTGTGTGTGTGTGTGTGTGTGTACACAACATGAAAATGTCTTGCACAACAGAGGGATCAACTGTGTTGGACTTGCTAGGGAATCTGTGTAGACTTGTGGGCTAAGGAATGCAACTGGGCAGTGGTGGTACATGCCTTTGCCTTTAATCCCATCACTCTAGAGGCAGAGGCAGTCAGATCTCTGAGTTCAAGGCCAGCCTGGTCTACATTTCAGGACAGCTAGCACACACAGAGAAACTCTGCTTTGAAAAACCAAATTTAACCACAACAAAAGAACTGGATCTCGTTATGTAAAACAGTCTCGATTTGTGGGGGAGGTATATGAGCATATATATTTGTATGTTTGTATTGCCTTATTTTTGAGTATGAATGTCAATGATTTGACTTGTACATGGGCATGTGTAGAAGACAAGCTCTGTGTTTTTTAAATTTAAAAAATCCCATTATTTGTTTTGTGTTATGTGCATGTGTGTGGATCTAGGCATAACAAAGCCCACATGTGGAGGTCAGAGAATAGCTCTTGGGAGTCTGTTCTTTCCTTCCAACATATGGGTTCTGGGGATTCCAACTCCGATTGTCAGGTTTGATAGAAGTGCCGCCATCTGCTAAGTCATCTCATCAGCTTTAATACTGTGTTTCTATTCAAAGAGTTACTCATATTTAGATATGCAGATATATATGTACCACATCTTAAAGTCTGTGTTTGTGCCTGGCAGTGGTGGCACACGCCTTTTATCCGAGCACTCAGGAGGCAAAGGCAGGTAGATCTCTGAGTTCTTGGCCCGCCTGGTTTACAGAATGATTTCCAGGAGCCAAGGCAACGTAAAGAAATCCATTCTCTCCAGGTGGTGGGGTGCAGGTCCATAAATGAGCCCCTTTTTATAGAGGGATATTGGTATCTGACAGCATCTATGTGGTGCTTAAATAAAGTCCCTGTGTATTTTTGCACATGTGGTAACAGATGCTTGCACGCGTGGATACATGCTCATCAAGGCCTTGTGCACTGTTGAGGCAGGTCCTGCAAACAGCTAGAAGTACAAAGGAGCTAGCCATGTTTTCTGTGTCCTTTCAGGATCCATCAAATTAGATTCACCCCCACTACCACATTTTGTCCCAGTTCATGCGAGGCTACAGTTTGTGCAGAGTGCCAGGAAAGGCGGGGCTCAGTACAGGCGAATCCCAGACAGCAGATTCCCTCCAGCAGCCTCAAGGGCCTGCAGGAGCTGTGGTGTCGCAACCAAACCGGGGCCCCTGGCGGAAGCGGAAGACTGCATTGGGGGTGGTGAGGCGCAGTCGCGGCGGTCGCAGCGTGCCAGGCTCTGGGCACCCGGCGGGGGCGTGCGCGCCACGCGCGTGCAGGACAGGCTGGGCGCCAGGCGGCACCTCCAGGCCCCGGCGTCTGTTTACCAACAAACTGCCATCGCTCAGCAGCTCTGCATTCCAACGCGCTGAATAAGCAAGCGCCCGGCGCTGGCGATCTACTTTCCACTCCCTCGCAGGGCCAAGGCAGCGTGGGACCATGTGGACCCGTGCGACCCGCTGAGCACCAACACAGGTTCTGAATTCGCGCAACGTCTCTAGTCACCACGCAGCTCCCCACCCCCTTGCCCATCCCAGGTCCAGTTTCCTAGCACTTTGGACATTGTTATAGAGATTTCCTGACTCTACCGGTCCCCAGCAACTTGGAGTAGGCGCCGAGGCGCACAGCTGGAAGATCGCACACCGCACCTCACCCCTCCCGTTTCCCCGGTGTGTGCTACCCCGGGGTTGCGGGGGCGGGCCCAGCTCTGGGCCTCCCTGAGGTCACCATGCAATAGCCAATCCGAGGTGTCTAAGTAGGCGGGGGACTCCGTGTGGTCCCGGGAACCGAACCCGGAGGAGAACATGGGGGCCCAGAATTTGAGGGGCGAGGGGAAAAAACCACGGGGCACCCCCAAACCCCTTTCTCGGGTTCGAGCTCTCTGCCAGAAGAGGCTCAGAGAGACATTTTCCCTGGGATCTAAGGCATGGGGGTGGCTTGCTGGGGGTGAAGGGCTCATTAGCCTCAATTCTGGAAACTTTAAAAGGTGTTGGCATAGAGAGTAGATGGCGTGCAGGGCCATGACCCTGTGGCCTGGCACCGGCCGTAATGACCTCTTTACCCTGTCCCCTTCCTGGCCGCGTTGTCTTCCCGGACCTCGCCCCCGTCCCGTCGGTAGTGGCTGCCAACCCGCTTGGCCTGTCCCCCGAAACCGCAGCTTCCCCTGATTTGTCCTACTCCCAGCCTTATGGCCACCTCCTGTCCTATTCCTACCTTGGGCAGCAACTCCAGGAGACTCCTACCTGCTCAGCCAGCAACTCTCGGAGGTGCCATCTCAGTCCTTCCACCGGGCAGCTGAACATCCTCAGGAACTCGAAACAGGTAAGTGTAGACGCCGAGGCTCGTCTCACCTCTGGGGTCTGAGTTGCGTTTTCATAAATTTCGCCCTCTTCTGCTTGCACGCAGCTAGCGGGATTCAAATGTTACTCGGGTTCCATGGAATCTGCAGTAGGGGGGAGGGAGAAAGGGTGGGGGAGGAGCGGAGGCGAGTTGATTTAGGTTTCCTCTTTAAATCCGACCTGGTTTCGATTTGCAGTTTTGTGAAGCCAGGCGGAGGGCCCCCTACCCCACCCCCCTGGAACAGTGGAGTTGTATGTGTACCTATGTGTAACGGAAAAGTACTATAATCTAGATACTGGGGGTGAGACCTAGCTCCTTTCCCGAGATTCTCCTCATCCTTCACCCCCTTCCCGACATCACCCTTCTGATCCCAGAAACCAGTATGCAAACCAAACACTACTAAACAGAAATCAATTCCCAGCTGAAGGTAGGTAGGCAACTAGGCGGGGCTCCTGTTCCTTTCCTGGGCCCCACCCCCTTTTTTTCTAGAGATGTCTAACCCAGTCTGGTAGCTGGCCCCTGCACAATCTGGGTGTAGGATCCTACCAACCATTGTTCAAAGAATAAAGTTACAGGCTGGTCAGTCTCAAAATCTCTCCCTGGCCACCTCAGCCTTGCACCTAAGCCATTCCTACCATGTTTACCCTTAACTTTGGGATAGAATAGGCCCAGTTCCTGTTGTTACCTGCAGCAAATTTGAGCTCCAGAGAAAGTGCTCCCTGGAAGGCCTCAGTGAAGGTAAGGGACTAGCCGGATTCCTAGGCCTGACTTTTGCATAGCCAAACTGACAGCCCTTGGCTGGCACTGCAAGGATGCTATATTCATAGACCCAGTTGTACTGACTTCCCCAATCCCATTGCTTTGCTCCAGTTGTCCTGGGCATAATCCCCAACAATGCACGTTTGCCAGACAACTTCACAGTAGTCAGTCCCAAACCCAGATATCTCTCTCCTTTTCTCTTGTCACTCTAACATGAAGTCCTGAACCCCTAGAACCGGAAGTCACCCTAGATCTCAAATTCCTTGTTTTATGGTTGGAGAAACCGAGGCAGGAAGAAAGGATATGATGAATTCATTTTCCTGGAGGAATGGAGCCAGGAAAGGGGACTTCTTAGAACACCAGAAAGTTAACCCCTTCTGTGGCAGAGCTGGGGGTGGGTTTGCTGGGTTTGCTGGGTCTGGTTGGAGGAGGGACAGTGGTGGGGCAGGGTTTTTACACACCTCTTGAACTTTTCTTTTTAGATATGCTAATATACACTGGGGGGATAGAAACAGGAGGAGCCTGAGTTTGAGGGCAGCCCAGGCAACTTGACATATATGGGGACAATTTGCGTTTTTTGGAAACCTGACTACCTTGGGAGATTTATTCTGGCAATAAGGTGGTGTTGGGAGTTGCTCGTCTGTCTTCCATATTCTGCCTTCCCTTGCTTGGTCCAAGAGCAATGGAATGGAGAATTCTTTCTATTACATATTTTACCCGGATCCAACGAAAAACCACAGACGCTCGCCTTCACAAGCAAGTATGTCCTTAAAGTAGACCTTAGCATTTCATTATTGGAGCTGTGTGGACCGCCCGTTCCTGAATGAACGATTGGAGGGCTTGGGGTCTCCTAAACCCACACTATGAGTGCAACTCCGACCCAGGGAGGCGCTTGGCTCGCAGAGCGCCTCACCAACACCCCATTGAGGCTGCGGGTGTGGCGGCCGCGCCTTCAGGGAGGCCCTGGGGACCCGTTATCGCGGCGACCGAGGTAGATCCAGTCGTGACTTGCCGCAACTAGTGTGAAGAAAGGCAGCTGTCCCGGAAGTCACCTGGAGGGTGATCTGCTCAGAAAGTTCAGCAGTCCAGACTGTCTTTCTCTGCGCTTCACCACCCGAACTGCGCGGTCCATTCCGCCAAGGAGGCACGGATGGTCGGATGGTCGCTTGGCTGCCAGCCTCAGGCGAGCGGTCGGGTCGAACCAAAAGAGGCGGGACAGGATCGGGCGGGAGCGGAAACCCAATGGCTTTTCTGGGAATTGGCTGAGGCTGGGGTCGAAGAGCAGGATCTGAGCACCCTCGGCCCCCAAGGTGCGGTGAAGTATGCGGCGGCGGAGGCGGGGGAGGGGGTTGGAGGTAGTGGTGTCTGCGGCCTGAGGGCAGGACCCTGAGGTGTGTTGGGTGAACCCAGTTAGGGATGGATGGGGAGCAGATGGACAGAAGCTACTCGCGCCGGGGTACAGGGTCGTTCTGCTGGCTCTCGCCTGGGGTCTTCTCAGCTGCGGGTCAGACAAGCACGGAATGAGGCGACTGGGCAGGTATTTTGTCTCTTCATCCACGCACTTCTCTCATCTTCTTGGACAGTCTCCGTATCCCGTAGAGTACCACAGGTTGGGGCCCAGATTGCAGAAATGAAAACCCAAGGTCTCAGCTGTGCCCCACAACCCGCAACTGAGTTTGGAGAACCAGGTATGCCACTGCCCGGCAGCTTGGCCAGAAACGATCTTCATTTGGGCAGATGCGTTTTTCTGGACCACACACGCACACGCGCGTACACACACACACACACACACACACACACACACACACACACACACACACACACACCTCCTTCTTCAAGACCCCTGAAAAGGGCTCCTCTGAGCCAACGGCTGAGGGGAAGAAAGGGATAGTCACTTTTACTGCAGGGTACACTAAGGCTCACTTTTCCAGCCTTGGTATTGGCATTCAAGGCAGACTTATACAGACCCCTTTAGGAAGCCAGAGGGAGCCAGGAAGACACTAACGCTGAGCTTTGAGTATTACTTTTAGGTTCCTTGGGGCTTGGATTAGCTGCCCTCTTCATCTTCAAACTGTAGCTCAGCCCTCCACAAGAGTCTTTTGCCTCCGCTCTATTCTAAGCAGGTATCTCCATAGCTATTGAATTCCATTGTGGGAGCCAGGGTACCCTTTCTCGGGGACCCTTAGTATTTCCTACACCCAGGTCCCACCGTGGTAGCTTCAACAGAGCAAGAACTGCAGCTTGAATTCACTGTTGCTGGTATACACAGGAATCGAAATGGCAGGGAAATAGGCACAGCACACACACACACACACACACACACACACACACACACACACTGAGACCCAGGTTGATAGTGGTAGCTGCACTGGTTTGGCTGATTCCCCATGGCATGAACCTAGGAAAATGTATGACTCACCTGGTCACTCCACATGCTTACAACACAGTCTTCTGCTGCCTCCCAGAATCAGAGAAACCGGTGCTGTCCCCTGAGCCCTCCCAGCAGCCTCTGACTGGGAAGCTCCACAAACCTGGAACTATCTACTCCAGCCTGCAACTGCAACACCTAAATCAGCGTTTCCAGCACATGCAGTACCTGGCCCTGCCCGAGAGGGCCCAGCTGGCAGTGCAGCTTGGTTGGACTCACCCAAACCCAGGTAGGGCTGGCCAGTCCCTGGTCCCAGTCCCTGGTCTCTGGTTCCCAGTCCCTGGTTTCTGAGACCCCACAGAGGACTCCCATGATTCTGCTGACACAGCTCTCCACGTAATCCCCATAGCTGATCTGCAGCAAGGGTTGGGAGTATATGCTAGAGGAGAATTGGGCACAAGCAGAGGAGGACACCCAGACCCGAAGTTGGTACTGAGGGACTTCTAGGATGGGGAGGGCTTGAGCAAAGGTTGGCAGGACTCACTCTCTGTAGCTAGGTCCCCTTCCCACTCACAACTTTGCACAACCCTTCTAATCTGACCTCTTTTTCCCAAAGGTAGAGAGATCTGGTTTCAGTACAAATGCCCCCAATACAAGAAGCTCCTGAAAAAGAATTCTGGGGGTCAGGAAGAAGACTTCTCTGGGAGACACCCCTCCCTGTCTCCCTGCTCTCCAAATCTTCTATCCATCTGGGATCTACCCAAGGTGGGCACCTTGCCCACCAGTGGCTATGACCATGGCTTTGGAGTCTGGCATCAGCATCATTCCCCAGATATGCTGTTCCTGCCTCAGATGATGTGAGTCTGGGAAAGGGCTGGTCAGGCTCCATCCCTCCTGTCAAGCCCAGGACCAGCATACCTGCCCCCCTTCTGGGGGGAGAGGAAACTAACTCCAGATGGATTTTCTCAAGACAAGAAGCAAAAGGAGGAAAAAGAACAGAGTGGAAGTCTGGTTCTCCAAGCCAGATAGCTAAATCAAAGGCTTTAATCTTTGCAACTGTCCCCAGTGCTAGGACAAAGGATTTAGAGAGAGCTTCACTGGCTAGAGTTTAAACCGCCACAGTGTTGCCACTCCTCCCCTCTTCAAATGACTGAAGCCCCACCACAGCCTAGGATCTAAGCCAGGAAGAAAACAAATATTATTTCTAACTGGCACCTTGGACCCTACCAGCCCATCCATGGACAAAACCAGAAGTGGACACAGAGTCTTTGTTGGTGGCCACCATAAAATCCGTGCTTTTCACCTACCAGTTATCAGTCCATCACCTCCCTAACTGGAGGTATGGTCCAGTGGTAGGGTAAGTGGAAGGGCCCCAGCACCAAAACAAAACATGGAGTGTTGGACTGTGGGCAATTTTTGCTTCTCTCGTTTAAAAGGCCCTCTACTCCCATATCTACTCATTTTGAGCTGATAAGTCCTGGGCTTAATCCTCCATATAATTCAAAGGTATGTATTAAGAGCATAGGCTCCTCCATCCTTGAAATCTAAGAAGTCCACCTGCACATATTCTTGGAAGCCTAGAATGAAAACTGGATCAAATAAGTTCTCTAGATAAAAACAAGCATTGATGCCTCCAAATAATGGCGTAGGTGTGCTGGGCGGTGGTGGCGCATGCCTTTCATCGCTGCACTCTGGAAGCAGAGGCAGGCCGATCTCTGTGAGTTCAAGGCCAGCCTGGTCTACAGAGCTAGTTCCAGGATAGCCAGGGCTGTTACACAGAGAAACCCTGTCTTGAAAACCAAAATAATAATAATAATAATAATAATAATAATAATAATAATAACAATAATAATAACAATAATAATAATAATAGGGTAGGCTTGGCATTTCAGCTCCTCACAGTTGTCTCTGTCCAAGAATCTGCTCCAATTCACCATTATTCTGTACAGCATCCCCCAGGCACTTGCCATCTCTCAAACCACAAGCCTCAGATATTAAAATGTATACAAATATAAAACAAACAAACACCCTCAGTGTCCTGGATGTTATGCATCAGTGTCTCCCGGATTCACCCTGGCTATTGCTAGTTGTCCACCTTTTCTCTGTCATCATATACATCCTCTCTTTGACCAGAAGTCATAGATACTAGATTCTTTTTTAATGATTTATTATTCTTATTTTATGTGCATTGGTGTTTTGCCTGAACATATGTCTGTGTGAGGGTATATGGGCACTGGGAATTGAACCCAGGTCTTCTGGAAGAGCAGTTGGTACTTTTAACCACTGAGCCATCTCTCCAGCCCAACACTAGAGCCTTGTTATGCGTCTGCCACCAGCTAACTCTGTGGTTCTAGCTCTGGACTGTCCTAACAGTGCCCATAGTATCATATGAAATGTTCATATAGGAGATGGCCAAGGTCATCGTGGTCTTTGCCAGCAGTTACCTCCTGGGCTAGCTATGGAGGGACTTGGCCACCTCACAGCCACCATGTTCTACTCAGTCCAGGCTTACCTTGGCAGAGGACTGAGCTTCTGGACTGAGCTTAGACCAGTCCTTCTGGAAGAAGTAAGCTGCTGGGGGTAGAATGGTTTCAGACTACAGAAAGGGATGAGGGGGAGAAAAATACTAGAAGGAACTGCAATTCTCCATCTAGTATATATCTATGGTTCTCTTGCTGGGTAGGTCCTAGGGACACCACCTTGATAGGGACAGATGCTTCAGGCTAACATGTGGCTGAACAGATGACTGGAGGCAGTGTGACAAGAGGCAGAGGAAAAGCCGGTCAGAGGCCATGTGGGCACCTTCCGGAAGCCAGCATGGGCTGATGGGGTTAGGCCTGGGTGGGAAGGCTGGTGAGCTCCCAGAGCATCAGGACCTGGCAGCACCGTGATACAGCATGGGGGGTGGGCTGAGGACAGGGTCAGTCATTCAGGGAATTCAGCTCAGAGTAGCCCCAGGGGCTGGGGAGGAGCCTCCAATTCCAGGCAAAAGGCTTCAAAGGCTAGCTTCCCTCCCACTGCCTGAACCTGTTCCCAATCACAGCAAACCGAGGGCACCAGTCCCTGGCTGAAAAGCCCAGTAGGGCACTTCCAGTCAACCCCAGGCTAGAAAGAAGCTTGGCTGGGGTCATAGGGAGGACAGAGAAGGTATCACAGTCAGTGGAAGTGTCTCACCTAGGGATGGCTGCAAACATCCCTTCTTTGCCCCTCTACTGGGTCAGTGGTCACACCCACTCCCCCAAAGACACACTGAAGATTTCCCTGTGGGCAGCAAATGCCAGATCACAGAGCAGAGCCGAGTGAGCGCACCCACTGGAAAGATTTGTTCCCTTTCTTCCTTTCATATCCTCCCCCTGACCCTTGGACCCTGGCTCCATTTCTCTAAAGGGTGGCTGGCCCCAAATGGCTCCCCTGGGTCTTCTCTGAGGCCAACGGCCCCGGGGTTAGCTGTTCTCTGCCATGCAGGCTACACACTTCTCTTTCCACAGAGCAAGATAAGATCTACCGCCCCATCTCGGAAAGCCTCCAAAGGCAGATTAATTGGACAGCCCAACACGAGTCGCATAGTTAAAACAACAGCCTGGGTTGTAAAGTTAAGTAGCAGTAGTGTAATTGCTCTCTCAGCCAGCTACCAGCTGAGCCTGCGGCACCCCCCCCCCCTTACCCCTTTCCAGGGAAAATGGGCCACTTTTCCATTTGGGAGCTGGTCCAGTTGCCTTGGACTTCTAGGTGGTGCTGAGCCTGGAGGAATTCCAAGAGGAAAGGAGCTTCGCCTCTCCCTCTCTAGCCACCAGGTTTACTGGAGGGGGAATCCTGTGGTTTCTTCCCAGGATGAAGCTCCATTGGGGACACTGGATCAACAAAGTAAAGGGAAGACTGAAGGTAGACTGGTCTCCAAAGAGGTCAGCGGTGATGCTTGCTTTGTGACTTTTGGTGAGTTTCTTACCCTCTCTGTGCTTTATTTCTCATTCCCTCAGACAAGAACGTTAATAGGACTTGCTTCGCCATATGGTTGCGATGATGAAATGAGATAGTACTTGACACGGTGCCTGGAACACAGCGACCACTTTATAAATGACATTCACATCTGCTGTTGTGATGACAGGAGGGGGCTGCTCACTGAGGGGAGTTCCTATAACCATCTATTTATCTCTTGCTAGGTAGCTAGCCCTGCCTCCCCAAGGTAGGGAGGAAGGATGGGGCTGGAAATACACCCCAGCACCTCTCAGCTGACACTGTTAGAGAGAAGGACTCAGGCAAGGTCCCCCACTCAAAGTGGGCAGTGGCTTGCCCATCTAAAATCAGTGCAGGCTGCAGAGCAGGCAGTGTCCGGGGTATGTGCTGTCACTTCCATGATCTCAGCCCCAGGAAAGTGGTCTCCTTCTGGGTAGCTCACCCCCCTCCACTCCCTGTACTATTTTAAGGTATGGCCCCCCATTCTCTGCCCAGACCAAATGAGATTCAATTAATTCAATTAAAGCAATTTTGGAAGCAGCTCCTGAAGGCTTTGGATGTGAGATAATTACCAGTAATTTGCTTCTGTGAAGAGGGAAAGGTTACCCGGGGTCTAGAGTGGGGAAGGAGAAGCCCCCTCCTCACCAAATGCACCCAAATCTAGAAGGATTCCACACAGCAATCTTAGCTGCCCTCCCATTGGCCAAATTGCTTGCAGGTGGGAATAGGGAGAAAGTGGCAGAGGGAGGAGGGTGGGAAGACACTGGAGTGACAGGCCGCCCCTCCTCCATCCCCAAATCCCGTTGTGCCTGTGTGAGGTGGGGGTGGGGGTGGGGAGCTATCCCTCCCTTCCCCCACGACTCTACAGGGCTTCACAGCTCTAGCAGCTGATTACTCAGGCCCAGCCTCCTTGGATTTCCGATGCCCGGGCTTGCCTCTGGGATTGGATCCAGAGGCAATGGAATGTTATCCAGGTAACTGAGGCCTGTGCAGAGGGATCTTCAGAGATCAAGGACCTTCCTAGAATTTAGAGGGGATATGGGCCAATGGGGCGGGAACCGCTGGAGGTGGACAGTGACTACCTGTTCTCAAGTCTCATGAGACGCCCTTTCTCTCCCCTGCTATACTCCAGCACTTTGTGATTCTGCCCGGAGTCTAATCGAAATCTCTTCCATTGTCTTGGCAGCAAATCTACTATCAACTTTCTGGCCCCAGGGCCACTGAAGCGTCTTCCTCCCCAAAAGCATATTACAGGTAAGTGTTCCTATCCCCACCTCACTTTGCCTGGGATAGCCCTTTCCTTGCCAGGCCTCAAGTAGTCTAGAACCTGAGGAGAGTAGGGCTGGAGATGGAGGAAGCTAGTGTGCCCCATTCCTTGGGACATAATCCCAGGACAATAATGCTTTAACAATTTTAACAATTAGGATGCAGAAGAAAAAGTTGCTCATCCACAAATGCCTATCGTGTCCCATCTTTCATCTTCCCAGAAGGGGTCCTTCAGCTTTTTTTTTTTTCTCCCATTGCATCCTTTCTCCCAGCTGCAGGACTGATGGACGTGGGGCCAGTGAATTCTTGATGGTTGCCGCCTCTTCACAATGGACACACTTGGAGAGGGAAGCCTGTCTCTGCCATCTCGTGCCTCTAGCTCCCATGCCCCAGAGAGCTCATATCCAGCACAAATGGAGGAATAGAAAGACCTCATCATTCCAGAGTTCATGCCAACAGGCCAGCCTAAGGATCCTAGCACAGGGGTAACAGGAGTGTTGGGAGGTAGAGACAAGAGGATCAGGAGTTCAGGGTCATCTTCAGCTACATAACAAGTTCAAAGCCAGCCTGGGCTACATGAGACTCTGTCTGTCAAGGAAGAAGTGGGGAAGGAAGAAAAAGAAAACTAGTAAGAGGCTGGTGTGATAGTATATGTCTTTAATTCCAGTGTTCTGGAGTCCCAGGCCAGCAAGAGCTACATAGGGCACCCCATCTCAAAAATAAATTAAATAAATACATATATAAAAAGAAATCTGCAGTTTGTTTCTTTCTGTCATTGTTTCTCTCTCTCTCCTCTCTCTCTCTCTCTCTCTCTCTCTCTCTCTCTCTCTCTCTGTGTGTGTGTGTGTGTGTGTGTGTGTGTGTGTGTGTGTGTGCAATGTGTGTACAGGAACACAGATCTCTTTATTTCGATCCTCTGGTTTTTTTCTTACCCCATCCCTTTCCCTGGCTAATGTTTTCTGGACATGTTTCCCTAGGTGCTTCTGGGGAAGGAGGCTGAATGGCCACAGAAATCCAATAAATTGGTGATTTCATTTTCTTTGCTTGTAGAAAGCTTGCCTGCTTCTTTCTCCAGCCTCTGGCTAGAACTCCCACCCCCCAGCTCCTCCTGGCACACCCATACCTCCCATACATGCCCATAGCATCCCCTAGAAGGCTAGTTAAGGGTGGACCCTCTGTTCCCCTGCTGTGACACTGACTTTAGCCTAAAGGAGGGACAAAGGGTCCCTAGTTGACAAAGAAGGCTGTAGGCTTGGAGTCCTGTGTTTGCTACAGTTTGCTAGGTGACCTGGACAAGTTACATACTCTCTGAGACTCACATGACTCCCTATTTGGTAGGGACAGGTGCTGTTACCAACACTTTCCCTCAAGGCTAGAGTTTCCTAAGTCAGACCTCAGAGTCTCCCATTAGACTGACAGCTCTCCAGAACTATGACTCTGCTTCCTTGAATCAGATAGGATGCATTCTGCAGCTTTTTGCAACCCCACAGTTGGCTGACATTGAACTGCTGAGCCACCGAGCCAGGTCTGACTGGCCCAGAAAGAGTAAAGGAGTGGGCCCTGTGGAGAATGGCAGGTTTTCTGATTTGTCTCCTGCTGGTGCCAATCTTCAGCTTCTCTGGCTCCCAAATGGAGAGATGAGTTCATACCCAGGGGATAGTGTGACTCCGAAGATTCCACATAGGACATGTTCCCATCTGGACTGGCTCAGCGGGACCTTAGGAAGACGCTTGCCACGGCCCAGAAAGAAATTGTCCTGTCTGTGGCCTCCATTGGCATGCCCATGACTAAACACAACGCAGATGATTAGGTTAAAGTGTGCTACCCTGGTCTCTTTCTGTGCTCACACAAAGGGAGGGAAGATGATTTACATGCTCTCACCAGACCCAGGTAGCCAGAGATCACTCTGAGGCTCCAGGCTCAGCAGCTCCTTTCTCTACTCACTC